CTCTTGCATTATGAAAGGCGAGGATGATAGCTAAGAGAAGTCTTCTTCCATGGCAATGCAGGGAGCATGAAGCCAGTAGCTTCATCCGGGGCTTCTGAGGCTTAACATCACCACCATCATCTTCTCCTCTGTAGAATGTTGTTCCATTTTCAAAACACTTTCACTGCAAATCTCAAAAAGTTGGGCTGGAGGTGTAACTCAGTGGTAGAGTGTTTGCCCAGCATCCACAAGGCCCTGGGATCATTGCATAGTGTATACATGTACTCACATATTGACACATTACATGATACCGTATTAATATGATATGTACAATTCTATGTTACATTAGTTTAAAAATAGGGCTGGGGAGTAGCTCAGTGATACAGTGCTCATCCAACATGTGTGAGGCCCTAGGTTCTATCCACAACTCCTCAAAAATAAATAAATAAAAATTTTTAAAAGAAGTTTCACTTTTTGCCAGGCTCCAGTAGCTCACACCTGTAATCCTAACTACCAGAAAGCAGAGAGCAGGAGGGTCACAGTTCTAAGCCAGCCAGGGCAAATAGTCATGAAACCCTATCTCGAAAAATACCCAAGACAAAAATGGGCTGGCAGAGTGACTCAGTACATGGCAGAGTGGTATAGTGCCTGTTTAGTAAAGCGTGAAGCCCTGAGTTCAAACTCCAGCACAACCAAGTATTTTCACTTTTTTTTTTTGAGATAGGGTCTTGTTGTGTAGCACAGGTTGACCTCAAACTCAAGATCCTCCTGCACCAGACTCCCTACTGCTGGAATTACAGGCATGTACCACCACACCTGACTTTTCACATGCATTTGTGCATGGCAAACATTTTTGGTAAGTATTGCGACCCTTATTTCTCAGAAGACACTGAAGTCAAGCACTCTACTCCATCACATGAGGTAAGCATGGAACACGGGGCTTTCCAGACGTCTCCTGCTTTCTGGGGGAGAGCTATTTTTGCTGCATGTATTCTATGTTTCCAGGCTGGAATGAGGGGAGGAGTCCAAGGGGAGAGAGAAGGAGATGGGAAGCAGAGGAACCCTGCCTCATGGGAGGCTACCAACAGTACTGGAGATCAGGTTATTGAAAAGGGGAAGGGAAACCGTAGGCACAGGTGCAGCTCTACAGTGACCTCCTTACCAGACTCATTTGTGGCTGAACTGACACCCTCAGCAAGGGGTGCTGGGGGGGGCAGGGCGTTGGGTGGGGAGTGGGTTGGGATCCCAGGAGTTGTTCCCTGGAAGAAGAGTCTAGAAAAGTTGACTCTACCTCTACCCTGGCCATCTTCTCCCAGGCTTCATGGCCCCTTGCTGTAATTCCCACAGGATAAATCTTGGACTGCCCCACCCCATAGGAGGTTAGAGGTGGCGCATCTCAGAGCCCAACCTGGGCTCAACCAGCTGACACCTGTGGCCCCTTAGAGAAACTGTCAGCCACAGAGTGGAGCAGATAGAACCTGTCCCCACCCCAACCCCATTCCCTTCAAAGACAGAAGTCTATCTTGGCATGGGTCTGAGTGGGGAAAGCTGGGCCCCTTGTTCTTCTCTGCAGAGTAGTAACAGCAGAGCCTCAGACTTGGACCCTAACACCTCTGCCTGGTGGGGGAGACAGGGCAGGAAAATTTCTGGACCTGCCCAGGCCCCTGCCCTGTTCTGTGGGCCTAAGAAGACCAGGTCAGGAGTGGGGATGTGCACTGATAAATGTGGTCACAGGTCTGAATGCCCACGGTATGGCCTCTTGCCTGACGCACTTGACTTGTCAAGGCCCTGACCTTGGTTGGCCTCTCTAGACAATGGAGGAGGCTGTGAGGTCTGTGGAAAGGTGGAAAAGTTAGGGATGAAGATACTTAGAGATGCCCCTCCCCCCTCTCTTGGCCTGTCTGTCCTTTAGTCACTGTTCCCCCATGACAGCCAGACTGCAACATGGCCCCTATAACAGCTACGCTGCAAGATGGCCCCAGTCACCCTGCCTCCCTTGGATCAACACACTTTTGTTATTCCTTCCCACATTATACCAATATATAATATGTATGACCAATAAAATAGGGCAGAAATGATGGTATGTCATTGTCAAGATCAGGTGATGAGGACATGGTAGCTTTTCTCTTGCCAACTCTGTCCCTCAGTGGGGATCCAGTTGCCATGTTGTAAAGGGCTCTGTGAAGAAGCCCAGGTGGGAAGGAACTGAGGCCTCTGGTTCCCGCCCACCTAAGTGAGCCTTCTGGGAGGCACATCCTCCAGCCCCCACCAAGTCTTCAAATGACCACAGCCCTGACCACATCTTGACAGCAACCTCATGAGAGACCCTGTGCTGGAACTACTCAACTAAGCTATCCCTGATTCCTGAAGGTAAGAGAATTACTAAGTTTGGGGGTGATTTGTTATGTAGCAATATATACCTAAAATACACCTCCCTTCTTTCTGAGGTGATTCCCCACTTACCCACTGAATCTCCTTGATCTCCTTGTCCCTTTATGCCCTTTTGCCTTCAGGTCCCAGTCCAGAACACTGGTTTCCAGATAGAGCTTGGAGATGTTGGGCTGGGGTTAGAGCACTTGTCTATCAATCACAAGTCCCTAGGTTCAATCCCTAGCATCACACACACACACAAATTGGAGATGCCAAATAAACTGAACCAGCTCCCTGGAGACCTTAGGAAGATGGGGAAAACAAAAAAAGAGCTAAAGTTTATCCTGCTGACTGGGGAGTGAGATTGTATGGAAGGAGGAAAGACCCCACGAGAAGCTCTTAACGCACAAGCCCCCTGCTTCTGTCTGCTCTTTGCTCTTTTCTTCTCCAGGAGGTGGAGGAACAAGGTGGTCCTTCAGTCTGTCTCTGTCCCCTTCATGAAAAAGCATGGGGAAGTCCCTGTAGCAAGTCCCAGTGAATCTTCGATGACTCTTCTCATAAGCCCAAAGGGCAGAGGCTGTTTTCTAGTAGAAAGGAAAAATGCCACCCACAGAACTTTCCAGGAAGCCCCTGGCCTGTGAAAACATGAGGGCTTCCACTGAGCCTGTGGAGGGTAGGGTCCTGGGGCAGTCATGGAGGGATCTCTTCAACAGCTATCTTGGCTACACAGCAGAGAGTGCAAATGACGCTCTGTAGACTTACAAGGGGGCCAGAAGGACATCACTGTACAGCATGCTCGTCCTGGCAAGTGCCACAGCTTCCTTCTTTCTGGGCCAGTTTCCTCACCTATGACAAAACAAGAGTCACCATCCTGAGGCTCCAATCTCAAATTGCCTTAAATGAATTATTCAGGCTTCAGAGTGTGCTCCTCTTCCCCTAAGGGTCCACACAGAACGATGATGTCCCTCTCTCTATTCTCTGTCCCCAAGTCTCTGGCCCTTAGGTCTCCGCAGAGACAGGCCTTCAACCTCATAGTGTGTCCCTTTGTGTTACTTTGCACACGGCACAAAGGCTCAGTAGGACACTCAATAGGGTGTCACAGCATGGCGTATGCCACCCTGTATCTCCTGCTCCTTCAGGCTTCCTCCCACTTGCTGTCAATATTTTGGTCTCCTGTGCAGGATTAAAGTTCCTTGACAGACACAGGTGTCTGTGGCCAAAGTCCAGGGCCCCACATTCATTGCAGGTGGAGGTCTCAATCCTTTTGCCAGGCCTGGGGTGCCATAGGCAGAGGGCCAGTGTGCTCTGCTGTATGGGCCCACAGTGTAGTCCAGAGGAAAGCTCTTTGCAGAGAGACAGAAAGGGGCATGACCAGAAAAACCTGCTTTCTCTCCTGATGGCTAATCAGACAAGTACACCATATGTGGAAGCACTCCACCATCTTCACAGGCTTTTTATTGTCCCACAACCACTCGTTTTGGTGGGTTTTTATCATTATCCTGACCCTTTTGTTTGCAAAAGGATGTCAGGGTCCTCCTGAGTTTGCCAAGGCTGGTCCTGACCTGGGTTCAAGGGATAACCTTGCCTCAGCCGGCCGAGTAGCTGGGACTACAGGCACACACCACTCCTCCTAGCCTTTATCTCTTGTAATAGGTGAGAAACTAAGGCTTAAGGAAATTGGCAACAGTCACCTCAGCAGAACTGACACGAGAAGCCAGAGCTCCTGACTCCCACAGCTGCAGCAACAGCCAGCTGTCCGTGGGCTGTTTTTCTCCCCGCCTGCCTGTGGCCTTTGTTCACTACCTTCCCCTTTGTCAGACTTGGATTATAACCTTGCCAGGGCCAGAGCTGTATCTCCTGAAGCATGCATTGTTCAATCCTTCTCCTGCAGGATGCATAGGAAATGGGACAGCTGTTGGGTGCACATAACAGCAGGCACACCACAAATACAGTGAGCTCTGCCTGGTCTGCTGCAGTGTTCAGTCTTTGGCCTGCCACAGCCAGCCCAGTGACCTCTAGGGGGTGTGACAAGCAGTGACCACTGGGTGGCAGCATGTTCTCATTCCTGGGACCAGAAAAGTCACCCAAGGAACCTCAGCTGGTTGCCAGAAAGGTTGTGAGGCCCAATCTCCTGGAAGAGTTGACATGGCAGGGCTCCTGTGTCGTGTGTGTGTGTGTGTGTGTGTGTGTGTGTGTGTGTCCGCCTGCACTCAGCCACCCCAGTGTCTGCTGCAGCCAGGAAGCCAGGCACAAGGGCTAAAGTGCAGCTTGAGCATGGGGTGGGCCAGAGGGACAAAAATATAAAGGAAACCAGGGCAGCCAGCACAACGTGGGTGGGAGGACGGTAGAGACGGCGACTATAGAGGTAAGAGGTGAGGGCTTTGGGGAGCTTTAGAAAAACAATTACCCAGGACAGAGAGAAAGAGCAAGAGAGATACCAAGGAAGAAACACAAAGACCAGAAACAGAAAAGGGGAAAATGAGGGAGAATGTCTGGGGAAAGTAGGTTAGGAGGCTGGGGTGGGAGGAGAGAGCCCCCCAGAGGCTAGAAGAGACAGAAACCTTCAGTGGACAAGAAAGCCAGACTACAGCTTGCTGCTGACAGGGAAGTTTATTTGGACCGAGCTGCTGAGATCTGCTGGCTCTGCCAGGTCAGAGCTGGTTGGGCTCTGGCTCTGGCTCTGGCTCCGGCTCCAGCTCCGGTTCTGGTTCTGGTTCTGGCTCTGGCTCCAGCTCCAGTTCTTGCTCCATCTCTATCTTGCTCTGAGTCTGAGGACGGTGAATTCCATGCTCTAAGGCAGAAAATCTTCTTGATAGCTGCTGTAGAGAGACCGAGGGTGGGAGGAGGAGAAAGATGAAGGGGAAACGAATAGGAAGGATACTGAGTTCTATTTTTTCCTAGCCCACTGCCTTTTTCATCTGGTTCACAGCCTTTTCTCAGCCCCTTCAAGTCTCCCAGGTGCAAGGGGTTCCTGGAGACAGGGGCTTATTAAGAGGGACACTCTGACGACAAGTTCAGAGTCTACACTGGTTACGTTCCCTGAGGAAGGGGTAACATACAGCACTGAGGACTGAGGAGAGGGAAGCCAGGAGGATGAGGGCGCTGGGTCCCTGGCTCACCTGTCTTCTCCAAAGATGAAAGCCAAAGGCACCAGTCACCAAGAGAAGCAATGAGAGGGTACCAAGGATGAGAAAGAGAGAGAGATGGCCTCCTTTGAGGGCACCTGGGGTTCTCCCAGAGTGCTGGGCACCTATGAAGAAAGCCCAAAATTAGACATACAGGGTCAGGGATGAGAAAAGGACATCTTACCATACACTCAAACTTTACAGTTTGAGGTTTGAGGCAATGAGGTTCATAAAGCCTTGTCCAGGATTATTCCGCTCATTAGTAGCTGGGCACGCTGGCTCATAATCCCAGCTACTCTGGAAGTGAAACTTGAGAAGATACAGTTTTGCCAGAGCAAAAAATTAGCAAGACTCCATCTTTTCCAAAAAAAAGAAGCCAGGCAGCAGTGGCTCACACCTGCAATCCTAGCTACTCAGGAGAGAGAGATGAGAATCATGACTTGAAGCCATTCAGGGCAAATAGTTCAAGAGAGCCTATCTCAAAAAGACCCATCACAAAAATAGAGCTGGTAGAGTGGCTCAAGGTGTAAACCCTAAGTTCAAACCCCAGCACCGCAAAAAAAAAAAAAAAAATTTAAGGGTGGTAGGTGGTAGAGCACCTGCCTAGCAAGCATGAGGCCCTGAGTTCAAACTGCAGTACTACCACCACCAAAAAAAAAAAAAAAAAATCCTGGACATTGTGGTGTGCACCTGTCATCCCAACTACTTGGGAGGTGTGAATAGGAAGACTGTGGTCCAGGTTGGCCCCAAGGAAAAACTCGAAGCTATTCAAAAAAAAGTAACTAAAGCAAAAAGTGGTAGGTCGTCTGCCTATCAAGCACCAGGTCCTGAGTTCAAACCTCAGTGCCACCACCAAAAAACAAAAAGAACCTAGAGAGCTTCAGGTCAGGTTCCTAATTGAACATAGGAATAGGAATGGGGGTGGGGTTGAGAGGGGAACCAAGATGATGGTTTCAAAGTTGGGGCTGTGGTAGTTTGGGGCCTCAGACCTTGGCTTAGACTCTGGGACATATAACTGCTCCGAGAAGCCTTTCCCCCTGGTACAGCTGACATTGCTAGGGTTGGGAAAGGAGCCTGGCCTCTTGCATCTCCAACCAGAGTCCTGGGGAAATCCTTCTGGGTGGCCTGTCCAGGGTACAACACACAAAGCGCTCTTGTCCAGATGCTGGGGTTACCTCACACAGCAGTTTCCCTTAGGAGCCCGGTAACCCAAAGGATTTGGGAATCACTAGAAAAGAGGGAGGAAATTTCGTGGAGTCTCAACCCCCTTACTTGTTACCACAGGTTCAATCCCAAATCTCAGTTACCCTGCTCTCACCAGGGTTCTGACTGAGTGTGGCTTGGGGCAATCAGGAGGTATGGCCAAATTAATTTTAAAACCATGCTCTGGCCAGATCATTTTCCTGGTTCAAATGTCCCAGGTTCCCTGTTGCTTTCAGGACATTGTTCAAACTCAAACTGACACTGAGGGCCACATAAGAAATATGAATTCAGATTCGTTCCCATTACTTTGTCCTGAAATGTTCAGACCCTCAATAGCAGTCAGGTGAATTCATTCCTGATACACCTTGAACATTTTCCTCTTCCATGACTTGGCTCACAGCAGTGCCCCCTGCCCTTTGGTGGCTCTGCATGAACTTCATTCCCCTTCCAAATGTTTAGAGGACAGTGAACCAGCTTATTGATCTAGAAGCCGAGCGTGCTCAAAGTGGTACAGTGAGAGGTAGGGTGGTAGGAACAGACAAATGGTGAAGGCCTTGACCCCACTGAGCTTGGAGTATGAGGAAGTGAAGATTTGCTAACACAGACACCTAAGTGGCACCTCGCAGCTGCATGACTTTGAGAACAATGCATCCTCTACAAAAACAAATATAGCAATATCTCCCATTGAGTGGCTGGACACAAAACAGTTGACCTCTAAGAAGATATTGGACAGAAAGAATGGGTGGGCTTTTAGTGACAGACTGAATGTGAGGGAAAGAGGAAGCCATGGTTTTGGTTGAGTGGGAATCCAATGAAGTTACTGACAGGTTGAGTCAGCAAGATTGGTGTGAAGTAAAGATGGGGTTTGGATGAGGCTGAGGGGTGGGGATATCTACAGATATTCAGAAAGCATGTGGGAATTCAGGATTGGCGTTCAGGAAATGTATTCATTTATTTATTCATGTAACCAATGTGCATTATTAAGCACCTACTATGTGTGCTACTGCCTAATGGCCACAAGTGAATACTGCAGACATAATTAATCCATCATGGCTCACAGCTACTCATCAATGAACACAGAGTTTCTGAGTATTTTTGCTGTGTTTGTTTTATATTGTCTTGGAAAACCCTTGCTCAGTAAATATTTGCTGACCAAGGGATTGATTTATTAACTCCTTCCAAATCCAGATCAATTCACACAGCTTTAACCCCAGTCCTGGGTCCAAAGCAGACAGGGATTCTAGAAATTCACGCTGCCTCCTCTGAGCGATTCAAACTTTTACCTTCTCTCCTAACTTCTCAGACTGTCCCGCCAATTCAAAGCAGGGGAGTCCCTTAGAGAACAATGGAACATTTATTTTTGTGACTCAAGGAGAGATTTTCAGTTTCAGTTTTTTTATCATGGGGGTGAGAAAAGAGGTCATAACTTGTACCCAAAATGGCCTGGTATCATGGGGTAGATTTGTGCAGTCTTTGAACAGCCAGCCCTTCCTCCCTGTCCTTGTTGCCCTCCGATGGGAACTGCTCCTTTCCCACCTTTGGCTAACCTGTGATGACTGCCAAAGTGACGATGGCACTGAGTTGCTGCTCCTGTAGTTGGATGCGGCAGGTGTAGGTCCCAGCCTGTGCCAGGCTCACAGCATCCAGCTGAAGGGTAAAGTTGCCATGGTCTCCAGCCACCAGGAGATCGGGGCCTCCCCCAGGAGGGACCCACTTGGCAATAAGGTAAGACTGGGTCTCCACACCAGGGGGCAGGTAGCATGGCAGCTCTACCCTGGAACCTACTCCTGCGTACACTGTCAAGGGGGTTGGAGGCTCCAGACCTAGGAGAAAGGGGAACCCAAAGTTAAAGCCAAGAGGCTGGGGTGGGTGCAATGGGCTGGAGTAATGGAACTGCGGAGAAGGGGACAGAAGAGTGAAGAAGGTGGTGCTAAGGCTGGGTGCTAGTGGATCACGCCTGTAATCCTAGCTACTAAGGAGGCAGAGATCAGGATGATTGCGGTTCAAAGCCAGCCCAGGCAAATAGTTCTGCAAGACCCCATCTTGAAAAAACCCATCACAAAAAAGAGCTAGTAGAGTGGGTCAAGGTGTAGGCCTTGAGTTCACCGCAAGAAAAAAGAAAGAGAGAGAGAGAGAGAGAGAGAGAGAGAAAGAAAAAAAAAAGAGTGCTAAGGAACAGAAGAAGGTGGATGAATTGAGGATGCTCAGAAACCCAGGTGGAAAGACTGGCAAATGAAGCCAGATGGCCAGGGGAAAAAGCTACAAGGGAAGATGGCACAGAGGAAAAGGGGTTGGAAAGTGAGGCTCAAATCAATCAGAGATAACACTAACTGCTGAGAACCTGGTTTGGGGACCATGAGTCAGGGGAGTTTGAGGGGGACAGGAAGGGGTTGTGGTCAAGTGCAAAGGCAAATTAGAGTAGTTACCCAGAACTGTGAGGTTGTACATGATGGAGACATTGAAGCCATCTCTGTAGGTGAGGATGCAGCCCCAGGTCCCAGAGTCCAAGGGGCTGGCTCTGGGCAGGAAGAGGAAGTTTTCAGCTAAGTAGTGATGGGGGGATTCTTGGACAGGGACTTTGCCCTGGCCCCGAAACCAGTGCACAGAAACTGGGCGGTCAGGGCGGCTGAAGGAACAGGTCAAAATGACCCAGTCAGAGGTTCCAAGGGACCCTGAAGGATTGGCAGTCACTGTGCAAGGATAAAGAAGACTTGATCAGCTCTACTAAATGGGAAACACTTCCCCAATCCAGCAGGCTAACCAAGCTGGAAGCTCCTGACAGCAGGGACCTTGCTTTTAGATTTGCCTTCTCTCCTCACCCCACCCCCTCCCCCAGCCTCCCATCTCCTCCAGTTCAGTGCCTGGCACCTTGGAGGTAGTTAAAGTGGATCCCTATGAGTCCCGGAACTTCTATCCACTGTCCCCTGCTCCCAGTTTACTTGACAGGACCTACCTTTCTCCTTCCCAGACCTTTCCAGGGGATCCCTACTAAGCCCACCCAATGAACTACCAATGTCTGAAATGACTCACACACTGCACTCTCCCCCTCCACATCTCCACCTCCACCAGGGCACTCCCGCTGTGGGTGGGGAAAAGGGGGGCTCCGGGGGTGGTGCAATCTCTCCATAGGGGCCTCTCCTCATATGTATGCTTCTCTGCGGACACCTGCCACTCCCCTTCCTCTCCCCTTTGGAGGCCCTGGGCTGGCCTAGAGCGCAACCCCTGCTGGAGCCCTTCCTGCCTCCGGGTGGTAGGGAATGGAGGCCCGTCTCCCAGCCCCTCTCCCCTCGTCCCGCCCCACCTACTCGAGGCCTGGCCCACGCGCAGACGGAGACGACAGGAGAAGGCGCGGTTCCTGAGGCGCACGGCTGCAAGATACTCGCCCGCGTCGGCGCTCAGGGCTGGGCGCAGCCACAGCGAGAAGTCCCCGCGCTGGAGGCCGCGATCCTCCAGCTGCACGCGGGGCTGCAGAGGCAGCCTCCCGCTGCGCAGGCCTCCGGGAGCCACGCTCAACACCGTGTAGCGTTGCGGCCCCGGTCCCCGCGACGAGGGCGCCTCAGGGTGAAGGACTGGGGTGGGAGCGAGAGAGCCACTAGGTAGAAGAGAGAATGAAATTGAAAAATTCGAGGGGTGATCGGCCCTCAAGAAGGTGCAGTTCAACCACACTTTGAAGATAAAGAGATCTCTTGACTATCAACCGTCACCACCCCGTTGGTCCTGGCACCATCCACCACTGGTGAGGTGACATACTGTGGAATGAAGGTGTGAGGGGATAAGGATGAGGAGGAATGGCAAGAGGGGTGCGTGAAGGCAGGGGAGGCTGAGTCACTGTCTTCACAGTGACTGACATCTCAGGGAATGGGACAGGACTGGCTTGGATGTTGGGTTGTGTCTGGATACCATTAGTCCTAGACTGGGAGTTTCTGTTGCCCAGGTTAGAATTGCATACCTGTCTGGTTGATGCTGCCAGGTGACCCCTCCTCTTCGTAGAAGGCTGAGATCCTGGAGGGGGATTGAAGGGCTGCAGGGGAGCCGGGCAGGAGCCCCCTCCTGGGCCCACACCACCTGGACCTCTTTCCCAGGTCTTGGGGCCTCCACTGGGGGAGCAAAAACAGAGGCCAAGGAGAGGGGCCATGAGCTGAGACTTAGGAGTAAAGAAAGATTTCATAATTTCCCAAGGGAGAAATGAGATGGAGGAAGGGCTTGGGTTTCTGTCCCTCCCTTGCCAAGGGGGACACTGAGGAGAGACTGTGGAGGTAGAAGGACTCAGCTCAGGAAAGAGAATTAGAAGAACCACCACAGAACTAAGGAACTCTGGATCTTTGAGGCCATGGAGAGATCTCTGGAGATCAGCCTCCCCCGTTCCCACCTTACCTGGAACTGCCCACAGCAGTTGCAGAAGCAGCAAGCCCATGAATGGAGCCTCCCATATCTCCCCTATGGCCTGGGCCATGCTCCAAAGGGGGGAGGGCTGAAAATGGGAGCTGGGGGACAAAGGAGAGGTTCTGCAAGGAAGGCGGTGAGGAGGAGGAAAGGAATCTAGAGGAAAAGGGAGCACCAGTAGAAAGGTCTAGAGAGAGCAGGGAGGACCAACTGATCAGAGGCTAGAGTCCAAGAAAAAACTGACCAGATTTGGGAGTGGGGGGGCACCCCAGGGACCTGGCAGGGCAGTGGTAGAGAGCAAAGTGGAGCAAAGTGGCTGTAGGGAGCTGGGATGCTGCTCTGTGGCTCCCAGGGCCTGGCCCCTGTCCTGCTTTCCTTCTACCTTCCCCACTTCCCCTCCCCATTGCCCGCCCCCCACACCCTAGGGCTTACAGTTTCACTTCGCAGTGGAAAGTCTGAGGGGGCTGATTCCCAGCAGCATCACCTTCCACCCCTGTGGTGTCACTCCTCTTGTTTATTTCCTCAGTCCGGGGTCTCCCCACCACCTCTGCCTCATCCCTTCCCCACCTGCTGACTGTTCTGTCACCCAGGTACCTTGGGTGTGTGTGTGTGTGTGTGTGTGTGTGTGTGTGTGTGTGTTTATGGTACTGAGGCTTAAACTCAGGGCCTATACCTTGAGCCACTCTATCAGCCCTTTTTTGTGATTTTTTTTTTTCAAGATAAGGTCTCGTTAGCTATTTGCCAGGGCTGGCTTCAAACCATGATCCTCCTGATCTCTGCCTCCTGAGTAGATAGGTTTATAGGCATAAGGCACCAGTGTCTGGCTCCCTCTGATCTTTTTTGCCAATCATTCTGCCTGGAACTCCCACTTGCTGCCTCCAAGCTGCCTCCTCTGTTTCATTACTTTTTTTCTTGGCAGGCTCATTCCTCTTTCTCAATACCCTTCTCCACCCTCCCTCATTCCAGAGCTCTTTTACCTTATAGACCTGCCTCCCCAGCCATTCAGACATCTGGGAATCAGCTAGAAAGAAAGCTTCACCACATCCTGTAAGATAGTGGAGCTGGGAATGAGGATGGGGAAGAAGATTAAAGCAGTTACATTGTATCAAGCTTCTTTCTGTACTAGCCACAGTATTCTGATGCTTTACATACAGTAACTCATTAAATGTTTCCCCATTGTATACATAAGAAAACTGAGGCTCAGGGAGATTAAACAATTTGCCATGACTAGGAAGTATGAAGACAACAGGTGCTCTGTGTGTGTGGTCTTGACCTTGAATGAGTTATGGGTGTCTTCTGGGAAGAATGGTGTTTACAACTCTCTCCCTCATCCAAAGTTTTTGTACTAAGAGGAGTCCAAAGGTATACAGAGATGAAACAATGCAGATCAAACTCAAGAAAAACTGAAGCAGCTAGAGAAGGATGCCTGACACTTGAGAACTCTTGCTTCCCAGCCCACTTGAGGGACCCAGTTAGGAGAGATGGAGAGCAGGCCTGGGAACCAGCAGAAGCCCTGGGGCTCTCCCCTGCTTTACCAGAAGCAGCTTGCTTCCTGAGCATCCAGCAAAAACATCTTTCATGCCAGGCAGTTCTCCCTACAGATCCTAAGAGGCCGAGACCCAGACCTACCAGCCTCTCCCACTTCAGGGGCGGGACTTCCTGTTTCTGAGGCTGTTTCTATTTGCCTGGTTCAGCACAATAGAGCTGATAGCTTTCCACTGGGCTCAGCACTGTCTATATTTTGTGTGGGTTAGCAGGGAAGTTTGTGTATTGCTGGGGAGGAGCATCCCCAAGAATCCAAAACAGGACATAAGTCCGCTCTCGAAGGAAGAGCTGGGTTCCAGGTTCACACCTGGAGGGCTGATTTACCTTCTTGAATCTGAGTATCTGAGTATGAAGTCAGTTACCCTCCTCCCTCTTTACCCTTTCATTGCATTGACTGGACCCCGGGGAAAGCAGGAGACAGGTTAAAAACAGAAGCGCGACCATTTCTTTATTAAATTATACAAAAAGGGGAGGAGAGGGGGGCAGCTGTGGGGCTCGGCCCCAACCCCGGTCCCACCCCGGCCCAGCGCTGTCTGAGAGGGATCTGAGGGAGACCCAGGGATCAGGCAGGAGAGGGATGGGTCAAGGATGGTGAGACTGGGGAATGCAGAGGGTAGGTAGGAGAGGGTACCAGAGGACCAGGATGGATAGGATGGGGAGGGGGGTCAGAAAGGGAGCAAGAAAAGGGAGAGGGGCAACTGGGGTCCAGCTGGGGAGCTTGGATGGAGCAGGTCAGGAGGTGGAACAATGACAGAGTGAAAATGAAGGGACAGTGTCTGGAGAGGCGGAAATGAAAGGCTGGGGAGAAAGAGGGTGACAGCTCTGGGACAGGACCCAGAGCAGGGAGCCAGGTGAAGGGTGGCTGTACTTGCTGTTCCCACCCCCACCTCCAGGCCCTGAGGGGCCTCCCACCCCCAGCCCATTGGCAGGGGGCGCTCATGCCGATGCCCCATTTTCTGTCTTCTGCCGCTTGGGATCCGCTTCATCCTGTGGAGAGGGAGTTTAGAATAGTTGTAAAATAGGAGAGGGGGCCTCCCCCTGTCCCAGCCGGCCCTATTCCAGTTCCAGCCCCCACCCATGCCCGTGCCGCCACTCTGATCTGAGTCCAAATCCAAACTGCGCCCAGCCCCTGCTGCATCCGACAGCCCCTCAGGCCCCAACCCAGCCCAAACCTCCTCTTCAGCAGCTCTCTTCAGCGCGGGCCCTTCGTCATCCTCTTCTTCTTCTTCCTCATCTGAGGAGCCAGAAATGGGTCATTGGGGAAGGGCAGGAAGCTCTGGCACAGACCCCCTAGGGTCACCCTCAGCCCTGTTTCAGGTCTTCAACTCCACCCTGACTCTGCTCCTTTGAGCCCTGACTTTTCCAGCCCAGTCTCCTCTGCCTCTCCCCACCTTCTTCATCCCCTTCATCTTCCTCCTCTCCATCCTCGGCAGTTTCTTCTTCCTCCTCCTCAGCTCCATTCTCCTCCTCCTGTGGGAAGGCAGAGGAAGCCATGTCAGCGTGGCTGTGTACCCCCACACACTGGGTAACAAAAGAACTTGGGAGGGGCCCCAGGATATGGTACTGAGGATAGGAGAGGCCACGGGAGAGGCTGGATCCAGCACCCCCAGGAAGGTAACTGGAGGCTGATATATCAGGGAGGGAAAATGGTGGGGTAGGTGTGGTCAGACCCCTCTGTACCTCCACCACTTCTTTCTTTCGCTCTTTCCGGCTTGCCTTCTCCTCTACCTTCTCCTTCTTCTCCTTCAGGTCCTGCAAGGGAGAAAGGTCACCTTTCAGCATGAATGATGTACAACCTGAGTTCCTCCAGCCCTGGTTCTCCCTCTCCGCAGTGAGCTTAGAGATGAGTGAAATGAAGACAGTTAGAGGCAGCTTAGAAACAGAACAGAGGTCCCTGGATCCTTACAGATTAGGGCCACAAATAGGTTTGACATCAGATACCTCCTACCCCAAGACCCAAGGGAAGTGGGAAAATGATGAAGAAAGGGAAGCAGGCAGCCAGGGAAACCCATCTGCACCCAAATCAAGTTCTTCCAAACCCTGGCTCAAGACCTCAAGCTTAGTAAAGCAAATCCCCCACCCCCTTGTGTCCCTAGCCTCCTCTGCCTGCCCCCCCTCCCATTGCCTCACGGCTTGGCCTTTTGTCTACCTCAGGGGCCTTTTCCTGAGTACTCTCTCCTGGGCATCCCTCCCAGCTTCCCCTTCAGCATGTAAGGCTTTTGTTTCCCTGTCTGTGTCTCCCTAATCCTACTGTTCCTACTTGGCTGAACACCACAAGGATAGGGAGAGCACCCCAGCTCCAGTTGCCATTTTAACCATCCATAACCCAAAATAGTTCCAGTAGTTCCCTCCTCCCCTACCTCTGTGGTGTATGCATTGGTGTGGCAGAACAGAAATGGCCATTTTCAGTGGATATATAGGTAAAGCGGGGTAAACAGAAACAGAGAAAGGAAGGAGACTCAGACATGGTAAATTAAAGACAGCAATAAACAATGTATGGACATTGATTGTCTAGAAGGGCAGGAAGGTGAATGGGGAGGTGCCTGTCCAGAGTACCCTCCCACCACACACAGCTTGATGTCCTATTCTGATCTGGCAGGAAGAGATGCTCATGTAGGCATCCCCCTGGACACACCAGATTTTCCCTTTAGATTCCAGTACTCCCCCCACTCCGCCCCTTGGCATGCTCTGAAGGCATGGTAGGTATCCTAGTGTGATCTGATCTGGTGTTGGTGCACAATTCTGTGTACCTAGTCCCATGTGGATGGAAGTTTTCAGTGAGTAGATCACTCTGGTAGGGTGTGTCCCTTCTGAACAGTACTGGGGATAGGAAAAGGGCTTGGTACCAAATGGGGGACACTCAGTTTTCTTCTCCCTTTAAGGAGAGCACAGAACACTTGACCCTTGCACTCCAGTTAGGTTTCTCCTTTACTCTACTTGCTATCTTCATTTCTTTGCCACAAGGTTAGTTTGGCACTTCTACTACCTGGTGGGCTTTTCCCTACATCCTGGAGAGAAGGGGGGAGATATAGGGACCCTGCACCACCTCTGCTTGAGTTTCCCATCTGGGCTGATGAAGAGAGGGAGGGAGAACACCAAAAATCAAAGTCCAAGAGGCCAGGCTCTCTCCTCCCTAGTCCTGTCCTTCTGGTCACTGTCCTTCTGTGATCCCTTTCCCAGAAGGATATGTAACCTGGGACCTGGGTCTTGTGCTAAGCAGCTCTCTGGCCTCCACTCAAGCACAAACGCTGACACCCATTCACACAGCTCCAGAGGAGCGCCCACGCGCTCTGGAGACACATGGCCTGGTGTTTGGGCACTCTGGCATGCTCTTGGCAGCACAGGAGCACAGTGGAGCCACTCCGGGCTCACAAAGCAGCAACATGGCTCCAGAACTCCAGCTCCACATGCACACATGTAACTGACACAGGCAGTCCCACACAATCGCTGGATCTCAGACATACAAAGACACCTACTCAGTGAAGTCACATGCCACAGCAAGAGCCCACCTTGTCAGATCTCACA